ACAGGTACTTGTCATTCATTTATTTCCCAAAAAACACCTGACGTAATTAACCAAAGTTTGACCAGTTCAACCCAAGCGATATGATGATTTACGAATTCAGACAATCCGGCAGATGACCCAGTTCTGGTCCCCTGTCCCAACTCCTCCCTTCGTAGCATATCCCTTGTCAGAGGCTAACCTATTCATTACCATGAGCTTTACACTTTCCTACTTTCGATTGCAGCTCTACACTGTGCAGCTAGTCGTGGGTTTATGACCACAGTCCAGTGTTTGGTGAAGGATTGTAAAGTGAAAGTAGACGTAGTAGATAAAAACCAATGTACGGCGTTATTTTACGCCATCACGCTAGGTAATCTAGACTGTATGAAGATATTGATAGAATTAGGGGCCAACCTGTCACATCTAGATACCAAGGGCCGATCGTAAGTAACTTTTAGTTTCCAGTAGGGGTTATAAGGAGTAAACCTAGTATGTGTATCAGGAACACAGAGAGCACCGATTTGGACCATTTCAATTGTTGATCAGATGTATGTTGTTCCTGTTATTATTGCTACGTATTAGCTGTTAAAACTTGTTATGTGTAATCAGGACCATTTATGGTTTCTTTTCGCGCCATTCCAATTTAATATAGATGACTGCTTCCTGGTATTATTGCTACGTATTAGCTTTTAACTCTCGCGATATTGGCGTCAAATTGATACCCATTTAAATTTTAGAACAAGTGGCGAATTTTGGACTTGATCTCATCAGCACCAATCGTATGCACGATATCGGCATTCATCACCATTAGGCTCAAACAAAATTTATCATGGGCCGAATTTTCCAGTGCCGAAAGGCAACTGCCTAGTTTGCTTATAGGTTAACCCGCCTCTGTTTAGAACACCTCTTTACCACCCCTTTGTTTTTTATAAAATTGTTGTTAGCTTACGGTGACTTACATACATCTGTCAAGACAACCAGATTTAGTGCTGGTAAACCCACATTTCTGTTCTATGTAGTCACCTAGTTATTTATAATCTGGTTCTCAAAATGTAATTCATAGTAACGAAGACGAACCCCGGTCATTGTGTTTATTTTCTAATAACGGTTAAGATTATTCGTATACAAAGGTCGATATTGTATAGTCAGACCCGATATTCATTAGTTTTTGAAAGGGAATATATTTAGCCTAACACCTGACAAAGAAAACTCGTACGTCAGTAAAATATTAGGTTGCCATTGTAATTTGAATATAGAGACGTTGATTTGGATTTTATAATAAATTACTGATAACAAAGGGAGATTACCGGTA